TCCACACTACGGAGGAGCTCAGCCTTTCAGGCAGGGGCAGAAGCTCTGGCTCTTTGGACCCAGTGCACCTCCATGTGCTTATCCATGTGTATGCAGGGCCTGTGTCTCACATGCAAGTCAGAGCGCAGTCATCTCACAGTCAGGGGCTGGCACTGCTCCACTCTGGCCTGGGAGACTCCTGCCCTGGTCCCAGTGACACACACAGGGAACCTAACAATCACACTTTCAGCTGCTGCTGCCACTGACCTGGCACACTGATCCAGAGAATCAGCCCCAGTACCTCGGGAAATGCACCTGGAGCACCCAGTGGTGCCAGAGAAAGGAAATGGTAGCATGAGCCTCCTCCCCACGCACTGGTGGAGGTGGGCAGGTGGGGCAAAGCGCTGCAGGAGCTCAAGGAAGGAGCTCCCACATGTGTCTGAAGCTGGGTCAGTTTGGGGGATAGAGCGACTCAGGTAGCATATAGATGAGGTTATAGTAGATTATTACCAAGGAATAAACAAGCCCCACTGATACAAATGGTTGACTAAATGAGAAGGATGTTCTAAATAGTTTTTGCAGCCTCTTCCAGGAGAGAAGACCAGCTCCCCATTCCTCAGAGGTGGCTGCCCAGAGTGCCCACCAGGAGGGGACGGTGGAACCCTCGGGTGTGCCAGGCTGAGAGCAGGGGCTTGGCTGCAAACTCAAGAAGGGCCCTGCCCCTGCTGCCACCCATCCTCTCACCCCTAGACCCCAGTCCAGGCCACCAGAAGACAAGTCCCAGGAGGGGCTCCAACAACACACCTGGCCACCAGGACAGTCAAGGGTGTCTTTCACAGGGCTCTAAGGGTCCCAGTGACCCAAGATATGCATGCTACTTGGGGCCTCAGGGACGGGACCCTGGGGGGAGTGAGGACCACATGTCTCACAGGGGAACCTGGGGCAGCAGAGGTCATAGGGAAACTCAGGCATCGGAGGGAAGTGGGCTGTGGAGCTGGCTGCGTTGACTGTGATGAGCATGCCACAGGAAGTGGGGAGGGGGGGTGGTTACAGGAGAACTCCTCCCAGAGTCTGCAACTTCTCTGTAAGCCAGTGTTGTAAAATAAGAACCTCCATTGCAGTAGTCCCTGCCCCATTTCCCTCCACCCCCAGCATATGTGTGTCTCTGTGGAAGCTGCAAGGTTGGAGTAGGGACTGGCTGGTGGCCTGTGCTGGGCTGCAGGGGGCCATTGAGGCTGCTGGGTGGTACCACCACCAGGGCTCAGCAGGCCTGGAGGTGGGAGTGGGTTGTTGGCCTTTCAGGGATCCAGGCCCTGGGGGGTTTGCAGGGACCTTCATCCACAGGGAACCGCGTCCATAGCAAAGTATCAGATCAATTGTAGGTAAGGGCTGCCCAGGGGTCCTGGATGAGGTCTAGTCTGGGGGGGCAGGGACCTGGGTGCCCCTGAGGGTCAGGGCCTGGGAGGGGGCAGGCTTTGGAGGGTCAGCAAGGGTGTTGAGAGAGAGGGGTGACTATTGGGCCAGTATGGGCACAAACAGGCTCCCCGTGACAGCCAGTCATACCCACCAAGAGCCTGGAGGAAGATGCCCAATGGCCTCAGTGGGTGTCAGGATGGCCCATCCTAGGGAGAGCCAGCCTGCCACTCCAGTGCAGACCCAGGGGAGTGGTCTCTCCATGTTTGCAGCTGGGCTCTCCTGCCTCAAGTGCCCCCACAACCAGGTCTGGGCAAAGGCCCTGCAGGGCTGGGAGCCAGGGACGGCCCATTGTCATCCAGCAGTGCAGCAGGGCACAGCCTGGCTACTAGTTTCCTTCCCATCTCTGGCCGGACTTCCTCTCAGCGCCCGAGGGCCGGGGTGTGTGGGACTTCTGCAGTGGGGAGCACTGCAGGCAGGGCCCCAGTGCCCTCCATGCAGCAGGGTCCCTGTGCTGGGAGCCTCTGGGGTCCGGAAAGAGGAGTCTCAGGCAGCTTTCCCCCTCCCTGAGGACAGAGACCCTGCATGCACCCGGCACTGACAGCTTCACCCACAGGTGGATACCCATGAGTACCTCAAAGTGGCTTTGTCCTGGGAGGCTGAAGCCTTAGCAGGAGCCTAGGTCCTTCCCCCACCCACACACCTGCTGAGGGGCCCTGGGGGGCACAGGCCTCAGCAGGCTTGGTGCTTGCCTGCCTACCTCCCAACGGACCTTAGCATTCATCCCAGGTCTCCCCTCAGCTCTGCAGTAATTTCCATGGGGTTCTGTCTTGCCAGGTCCCTCCCTGGGACACTTGACTCCTGTCCTGGAGGTCCCAGTTGTATTTTAACTAGATTCTCTAGCCACCCAGGGCCCAAACCCCAGGCCTAGGGACTGTCTGCCACAAAGGCACTGAAGCTCCTGTGTGCACAACAGCTGCCACCCCCATCCCCCAGCAGCCCAAAGAGGGTTGTAGGCCCTCAGATTAGGCCCCAAAGAACCGGGGCTCTCCATCAAAGCCCTTATCCTCATAAGGCCCACAGGGCCAGCCTCTTTGGTGCCTGGACTCACATTCACATTCCCTTTTGGGAAGCTCCTTCCACACTAGGATGGGGAGGTTCCCCCACCATGTGCTCAGCAGATGCAGGGGGGTGAAGGGACATCTGAGCTGAGGGAAGGGTGAGTGCAACTAAGGTCTCAAGACCCTATTCCCTCCCAGGGATGTAAGGTGACAGTAACTGGGCTTCGAGGGATCCCAAAGAGGCAGAGAACATATTGAGGACTCTGGGGCCCCTCTCCACTGCAGCTGGGACTGGGAAGTGAGGGGAGTTCCTCCTGAAGGGGTGAGGGTGGGCCCAGGGAGAGCTGCCATGGCACAGCCTGGACAGCTCCACTTGCTGGGCCTATGGATTCTCTGGACCTTCTCAGGCACTGCTGGCTCAGGGTAGGGTACAGGGCCCACCACCCAGCCCTGCAGGGGCCCGTGCTCTCCACACCTCCTACTCCTCTTCCCAAACTGCTGTGGGTGAAGCCAATGCAGCCAGCACGCTGCCACCTTTCTCAGCGAAATGGAGCATGCTCACCCCTTTTCTCTACCCACACCCCACCACGTCCACCTGCTCTATCCACCATGGCCCAGCACGCCACAGGCACCAGGCAGACAGGGGAGGCACTCTGCCCTGTGCAGCAGCCCACCACTCCTGAACCAGCAACTGCCCCTTGCTGAGCCCTCTGCCCACTCCCACTCACCTTCCTTCCTCTGGCAACCTAGTCGACTCACCATGTCTGGGCACACTGGGGGCCCCTCCTGAGTCTGTTCTCTCTGCTGACTTGTGGGACCCAGACCTAAAGACCTGTGAGCCATTAAGACTAAAGGAAGGAAGCCCCAGGCCGAGCACAGGCTGGCTGAAGCTGGTCAGGAGCAGTGTGAAGGGCAGAGAAGAGTGCCTCTCCTGGCTTGACTACCCTTGTACTGGGTGAGGCTCCCAGATTTCCCCCAGGTTTGAAGAGCCTGAGGTCCCACCCTCTGGACACATGGCGGCTGCCTGACTAATGTGGGCTGGCCAGTCCTGCACAGCCCAAAGGGCCCCAGCTGCTGTGGAGGTGAGGGCACACACCCCTTCCCTCCAGCTCATCAGCTGGCCTCAGCTCCCACAGCTCTGCCGCCCCCTACTCTTGGACCTTGTGATCCCAGAAGACCCTACTGGTCAGGACCTATTGACAAGCAGTGGGCTTGAGACAGACACCTAGAATGAGATAGATACCTGGCCAGGCTGAAATGGCTGTCATCTTCCGGGGACAGCCATTTCCAGAGAGGCCAGGCCAGCCTGAGACCAAGCCCAGAGGGGAGAGTGACACTGGTCAACCCCACAGGGCACCCCACACCTGGTCCCCTTGACAGCATCCTACCTTTTTCAAGTCAGAAAATGTCTCTGTGAGCCCTTCCACCTGCTGGCTGGTCAGACACTGGCTTCCAAGGGTGTGCGCCCGGCAGTCCTGTACCAGACCCAGGGCCACCTCTCGCCACCAAGCACAATGCAGGGGGAGGGCCTTCAAGGGCCCCATTGTTCCCCTCAAGGCCCAGGGTCTGAATCCCCGATTGTCCCTGCAGTTGTACAGGGCCAAGAGAAGGAAGGGACCTCCTCCAGGCTGCACGGTGGGTTGGGAGGTAGTTGGCTTTGTCTCACCTTTCCTGGGGCCTGCCCAGCGGTGCCCCTTTACTGCCCTGTGCCCAGACCTAACTCCCACCAGGCCTTTGTTTATCTGGGTGTGAGGACAATGCCAGCCTCCTCAACTACTTCTGCTTGGGTTCCCTGCTTCCTCTTGATCCTGTGTCCACTGTCTTGGCCTCACCCCAAGTGCATGGTCTAGGCACAGACCACTGTACCCCAGGGCACCACAGCTGCTCTAGCCCAAGACTAGTGACAAGGGAGGTGTCTTCTCAGACTCCAGGAGCCTGGAGCCCCAACAAAAGCCCTCAGGTCTCCAGAACTGACCTCACTCAGACCACCTGGCCAGCTGGGCTCAGTGGGCTGAGTAAGGCCAAGGGAGCGTATGGCACATGCAGGCTTCTAAGACACCAGGGTCCAGCTCCTGCAGTCTCAGCCTCCCCTTCCAAGTCAACAGCATCTGTCCTTCACCACTCCTCACCTGGCCCAGGGACCAGGAGGAGGGTTGGTTGGGGCAGGATGAGCCCCCAAGGCCTTCTCCAGCCAGCCTCAAAGAGCCTTGAGGAATTAGTGGGAGAGGTATATGCTCCTGGCAGCCCCACCCCCCTCCTCCCACCTGCACCTCAGGGTAGGAAGCAGCCCAGCCCAGGGACCCCCCACTCTGAGAACAGCTCCTGTTTGCTCCTAGACACGCGGAGCTGGGAGGGCTTCCCTTCTGGTCTCTGAGCTGTGGAGCCTGGGGAGTCGTGTGCTGTTGGGGAGCAGCCCCACTGGCCAACATCCCAGAGTAGCAGACACGGAGGACTTGGAGCATGCAGCCCTTCTGTGACTGGTGATTTAGGAGGTGGCCATCAGGAGTGGCAGCACAGCATGAAAAACACAGGGTAAGGGTGGCAATCCACGGGCTCAAGGCCACCCTCACTAGCAGCTCTTTATTAGGACACCAGCCCAACTCCCAGGAGAGTGGGACTGATCAGGGGTATCCAGAAACAGGCATGGGGAGCAAGGCGAGAGAGGCAGGCTGAGTCATCTTGCCAGGGACACCCTGGCCACCAGAGTGCGTGCAGGGTCCTGTCCAGGGAGGACATAGCTGTTGTCATCCTCAAGAGCAGCCAGTCCCTTGGGCCTTCTTGATTTCCTGCAGGAGAGAGGAAGATGGGTTTGCCCTGAACCCCATCCCCCGTCCCATGCCCTTTCCTGCACAGTGATGCAGCCCTGCCCCCTGTCAGAGCCCACCTCTGAGAGTGCTTCCTTCAGGGCCCAGTAGGCCTTGTCCAGGCTGTCGTTGACAATGATCAGGTCAAACAGGCCGGGCTCCTTGCCTGGGGTGGGGACAGGAGAGCCCCACAAGGCCAGTGGAAGCTCAGTGAGGGTTGGGGAGCTGTAGGTGATAGGTCCTGCCTCTGCCCTCCCACCTCTGGCAGGTGAGTCAGCTGCTATGGGGGAGGGTCAGGGACCTGGCCAAACCCACACTCACTGCTTTCCATGTCTGCCCGGGCAGCAGCCAGCCGCTTGGCCAGGCTCTCTTCTGTCTCCGTGTTCCGTTGCCGCAACCTCTGCTCCTAAGGTGCCCAAAGAGGATCAGAGCCTGCAGGGCAGCCCTGGCGCCTCCTCCACCCCTCCCCTGCCTGGATCCCCGCCCCCACCAGGACTTCCAGTGAGGGTGGCTGCACAAAGATGTAGATGGGCTTCAGGTCCGTCTTCTTTATGTTCCGAACACCCTGGAGGTCCACATCCAGCACACAGATTCGGTTCATGGCCTGTACCACTCGCACAGCAGCTTTGCTAAGGAGGCGGGGAGGGAGGGCAGCACTCAGCTAGGGCTCCCTGGGCCCTAGCACTCCCACCCGCTCCACTGCCATCTGCTGAGGTCCTGCCTCCCCAGGTCCCCACTCTGAGCCTGGGTGGGAGCCTGTAGGGACCCACTCTGCATCATCTGTTACCCCTTTCTGGAAGCACTGCCTCAGTAACCCTTGCATGCCGGGCCCTCTGCTAGGCTGGGGGCAGTAGGGGGGAGGGGCAGGACACGGTCCTGGCTGTCACCACTGGGCTCAGGGCTCCTGGGTACCCACCATCTAAGGGTAAGAGCAGGCCCAGCACCCCCTTCCAGGGCTCACTGCCCTTGGTAGCTGCACCTGGGGTAGAGTATGAGGGTCCCATGGTGGCTCAGGTACAGGCTGCACAGAGCAAGCCTGGGTTCACCTGTGTAATGACACTGCTCTGGGTGTGTGAGGGGTGGGGATGGGCACCTTTTGCTGGCCTGGGACCCTTCTAGGCTGCTCTATTAGTTGAAGGGAAGGGGTAGAAAAGTACAGCCTGCAGACCTCTGAGACCCAGGCCCTCTGAGTCTTCACTGCACACTGGCCCAGCATGTGGCCCCCAATGCCCATAGCGACCTGTTCAGGTGAGCTCAGATGGGGCCAGGAGGAAGCAGCCTGGAAAACCCAGACTCTTGGCCCCGGAAAGGGCTGGGTCCCTCACCCTGACAGCCAGTAGAGAGAAGCCCTTGCGTGAGCTGCCCAGTCTAGGCCCCTGGGGGTTTAGAGGAAGGGAGTGTGGCACACCTAGTCCCATAAAGGTTCCCCGAAAACTCAGCATGCTCAATGAAGTCCCCGGCGGCAATGTCCCGCTGCATCACCTCCCTGGACACAAAGTAGTAATCTGTAAAGGGCAGAAGCTGTTGAAGCTGTCTGCAGCCAGGCCATGAGGGCCCAGACAATCCCACAAGGGCACAACCAGCTTCTGTCCTGGGCCTGTCTGCCTCTCTGTCAATCCACAGAACTGTTCCAGCCCTGGGCAGGGAGATGTCTGAGGAGGGGACAGATACTACTTCTCACACTGTCCTCACTGAAGGGGGCCTGGAGACTGCTGGCTTCAGTGCGGCAGCTGGGGGGGGGGACCTTGATGCTCTGCCTCAGGATACTACAAACACCCTAAGGTTACAAAAGATGCTTGTGATATCAGAGAGCCCTAAGTCATGTGCACGGCTCTGCCCCCAGCTGCATGGCCACACAGTGCAGCGCACATGCTAGGAGCAGAGCCCCACAGCTGCCTGTCCCCCGCCAGCCTCTCACGTGGATATGTGGTGTCTGCATGAGATCTGATGCCCATTACCTAACGAGGCCTGCTTACCCACCCACCCTGGAGGACAGTCACCATCCGACGGGGAGACTGAGACCTCACGCCTCACCCTGACAGTTGGGGGGTGTGGGGTGGCTCCAGACTTGCACTGGAGGGCAAGTGCGGGGCCAGCTCACCTTTGCCATTCTCTTCTCCAGGCCTCGGGTTCCTCGTGGTATCTAGGAACAAGCACCTGTGATCCACCTAGAGCCCACTGGGACCCGTCTGGGCCATCCAGAGCCCACACATCCCATCCCCAGGGCCTTCCCGAAGAACCCAGCTCAGCCTGTGGTGGGGTAGGGGGGTCAGCAGTATGCACATGTCCCATGTGTGAGGGAGGGTTCCTGGGGGGGTTAGCAGCATGGGCATGTCCCTTATGTATGTAGGGGTGTTGGGCTCCAGGGGCGTCACCAGGGCCCCCCAGATCCCTAGGACCTCACGGGACACGCTGAACCCGAAGACGCTGCCATGCTCTTGCAGAAGTCTCTTGAGCAGGGTGCTCTTCCCAGCTCCAGAAGGTCCACTCAGGACAACGGGCCTCGGTCCTGACATCCCTATGGGCGAGTGGGAGCAGAGATCAGCAGGCCTGTGGGACCCCTGTAGGTGGGGTGGCTACAGTTGCACCCCCCCCCAAACTCTCACCAGGAATTGAACAGAGCTGAGGGCCATACCAAAGCTCAGCTGCACCTCCCCAAGAAGTGGACTCCCCGGCACCACACACATGACCTTCCCAGCTGTGCACTCCAACCCCACCCATGGTGGCTGGGCTTCTGCTCCTGGGAGGGGCACATCTGGTTCCCCAACCCTGCATCTCCTGGCACCGTGCCCCAGAGGTGGGCGAAGTCAAGGTCAGTGGAACCCGATCCCTGCTATGGGAACTTCCATTAGGAAGTGAGGGACTGAGAGAAGGACCACAGCTTCCGGACCATAACCCTATACATGCTGGAAAGCCAGTGAGAGGGCAGCCTCCCAGTCCAAGGCACAGGGCTCAGACATCTGTCATAGGTGAGAACAGGTGAGGGAGGAGGGTTTGGGGAGTCATCAATCCAGCCAGCTCTGTGCCTGCCTGACACCCCCAGTCCCCTCCCCAGGACAGGACCTACCTCCTGGGTGGGGTTCAGCCGCCTTAGTCAGCTGGGGCTATTCAGGATGAGCTGGGAGGCAGCCGTAATCCCAGCCTGCTCAGGCCTCTAAGCACTAAGCTCCTCCCAGGGCAGTCGGTCCTGCCCACGTGGGGCCTTGGGGAAGAGAGGGCTGTCCCTGGCCCCTCAGAAGCAGCCTGTGTGCCCAGCCACCTTCCTGATGGCAGGAAGGTCAGGTCCAGGTGCAGGCCTCCGAGGGAAACCCCCGATGGGTGGGGGGAGTTCGAGCAGCTCCCTATGCAAGCCTGGCTCTGTCCGCCATCTGGGGACCCCTTGGTAAGGTGTGGAGGCCCTCAAGGTGCAGTTCAGTGGCCAGCACACTGGCAATGAGGACCAGGAGGGACAGGCTGCTTGGTTCAGGGACGCCCTGCTGCCTATCTCCAACAGGGCCCCTAGCGGACACTGCTTTCCTAATCCCCAATGTAGGCTAACTGGGTAATCTCACTAAAGCACTGCTATTCTGGGCCTATCACACCACCCACGTGCTCCCTATAGAAGAAGCTGGGAAACACAAAGGAGGAGGGACCCACAGGAACCCATCAACACTCAAATGTCATCTCTGAGTGACCAGCTCTTAGCTCCTGGGACTTCCGTGAGTTTCCATACAAAAATGCCTTGTTTCTATGTAGAGGTCATCCCAGTGGACTCTCAACTCCTCTCTGGCATCCCAGCTTTCCCACCCAAATACATGTGCCACATATACACCCACATTCTATATACACATGCACACACATACACATGGCTGAAAGCCCAAGGCAACTGCCCACTAGCAGAGCGCAACTCCATCCCTCCCCAGACGCCTGGACACAAGAGGTCCTGCCTCTCCCTCATTGGCACCCTTCACAAAGCCCCATCCTCTGCAGAAAGAATGTCGCAGAGGCAGTCCAGCCTACTCCTCTGGGTGTGTCCTCATTTCCTAGGCACTAAGTGACCGGGAAAGGCAGCAGAGGGAGGGACCCATCAGGGCAGAGGAGAGGCTGGGGGCCACCAGGTCCCAAGAGAGGCTGAGGAGGCTAGGGTCCAGTCCCGCCACTGCCTAGCCTCTGGTCAGTACTGAGTCTCTGCCTCTCCGGCTGGGCAGCTGTGGCCACGCACTGGCCTCTTTCTCCTGGACCTGATGGAGTGTTAGGAACCACAGGCACGTGAGTTCTTCCACAGCAGGAGCAGCCCTAAGAAGACACAAAGTATGATGGCCACACCGATGGCCCAGAAGGCCTGCCCAATCCTTGATCATGGTGGCAAACCCTCAACCCAGAGGGTACTCAGGCCCAGCACCCATCTTGGGGTATCCACCTCCAGGGAGGGGAGGACCCAAAGGCTCTGCTACTGGCTTGCCAGGGATATTAGGAGGTGCGCTCCAAGGTGCTGGAGGTGCTGAGAAGCGAGAGTGGCTCATCTGCCTGCTTGCACAGAAGCCCCTCAGGGATGTTCTGCTGTCTGTCATGCACCTGCCATAAGTGGGCATCCCCAACCTCCAACTGTAACCTGCCCAGCAGGACCCAGTGCTCCTTCTCCAACATGCCTTCCCATCAGGCCACACCTCCTGGCCCTGAGCTCTGACACCTGGAGTAGGTCACCCTGTAGAGATTAGTCTTTAGTCAGGACCAAACACCACACACCAAGTCCAAGAGCTGACACCCTCACAGGGCATGTGGCACAGATCCTGCTTGTCACCTTACATCCAAATGCTGGTTTCTATCCTGGGCCCTCCACACTGTGCTGGGATTGGGGCAGGGGAGCCTGTCCCACCAAGCCACATCCCCAGCCCAGGGGGAGCTTCCCCCCCCAGGCCCACTACCTGCCTGCACCGGGCCAGTGGTGAACAGGGGGTGCACCTGCACAGGATTAGCTAGCAGCTGTAAAGCTCACTCCCTGCCAGACTATGAATCATTGCCCCCCAGCCCCTCCACACAGGGTGTCCTCATGATGAGCCTCCCCCAACATCAAACTCAAGCTCCAGGCCCCCAAGTGCAACCATCACCTGCCCCACTCTGCACACGCATGACAGAGAGGTCCAGCCTGCTCAGCCTGGCTTAAGGGTATGTGTGCCAAGTCTTACCCTGTGCTGCCCACAGAGCTGAGTCCTGCCTGGAGGCTGGCTCCCAGAGCACAAGGGCCACATAGGAATGGACTGGCCCTACAGAAGTGCCTAGGGAGTTGTGGGAGACAGGGCTCTGTCCAGTCACCACACAACAGAGCACTCACTGAAGCCACCTTTCACAGCACACCTGGAGTGGGATGGCACTTTGGCCTCGAGGCCTCAACAATCAAGTACTCGGAGACTGACTTTGGCCCTAGTGCCTGCAGGACCAACTGAGGGCATTCTGTGTTCTCCACTCCTTGACTATCTCACAATCCTGAACCTTAGCAGCCCGGGGAGAAATGGGAAAGCTCACAGTACTGCAATAAAAACTTGGGATGCAAGCTCATGCATTCCAGAATGCTCTCCGCTGGAACCCTGCCCAAATAGCACCCAATGCAGCCAGGCAGCCTTTTTGCAGAGCATGAGAAGGATGCTCTGCAAAACTTTCATCCTGCACCATCCCATCTCCCTCCCACTCCTCCACAAGACACCCAAGATAAGGTGTGACTTCTAAGATCTGAGAACATGGAGAGGAAAACTCAAGTCCTGCCAGCCATCTTGTAAGCCACAAGATGGGAAATTAAGCTCAGGACAGCAGGTGATGTCCCACCCCTCCCAAACAGACCCTGTGGGGCAGAACTTAGTGACACATCCTGGCCAAGAAGTCTTGAAAAACCCACTTAGCCTTTGGGAAACTGGCTTGAACTGGGACAGCCACAAAGCAGCCAGTCATTTCCTTCTTACTTCTCCTTACAATGGGGCAAGGACTATTCCTTCCATGAGAGCAGGCTAGCCCCTCAAAAGCATGGGCAAGAGCCACACTGCGCAGGACCCCAGGCCAATCTCGGTGCTGCATGGTGTGTCTGGATCTTTTTCCATACAGGAGAAGGCCTGGATTCAGGCCTATACCAAATCCTAATTCTGCACCATGGGCAGAGGGCAGAGGGCAGAGGGCACAGGAAGCACAAGAGGGGAAGGGTCCCTGGCAAGTGAGCTATGAAGCAAAAGGGGCACAGGCCCTACAGAGAATTAGCCTCACTCTCACAGAGAGGAAACCAGGACCCACAAATGCAAAGTCAACAGGAACCAGGGGAGACAAAACCAGGAAGACTAAGGCTCAGCACATGCAGAGTCAGCAGGGAGCTAGGGAGACTGAGGCTCAGCCCACAAAGGGTCAGCAGGGACTTGGAGCTGACTACAGAAGTGCCTGCCTCCATTCCAGTGCTCCCACTGCCTCACTTACTCACCCACCTTCCAGGTACTTTGGAGCCACCTCTTTCCATCCCCAACCACATCACCACATACCCCCTTCATTTCTGCTCCTCCTCAGATCAACTCAATGCGTTTGTTTTTTCCAGCTACACAGAATATGCCACAAAAGACAGAACTTTACAGTTTAGGAGGAAAAAAACAACAACAAAAAAACCCCACCCAATTTTGGTGTGGCAGAATAGAAAAGTAGCGAGCATACCATTATAACTCCCAGAATCTTCTACTCAAGGAAATTACTGATATCACCCATCCCAGCCAAAGATCAAGGTCCAGGTCTAAACCCAGTATCTAAACAAAACCTACACACACTGTACATGTCACAGGCGGGGCCCCAACCGGGATATAAGTGAACTGGGTTTCGCAGGCAGTCCTGTGGCATTCTCTGAGCAGGAATAGAGTGGGGACTCACCTGGCAGGAAATTAAGCTCCTCAGGGGCAACACAGGAAACCCCACCTGTCCCTGATCCCTCCTGGGGGGGGGGGGTGGGAAGAGGAAGGTTTTCCTGCATCGGTCACAGCAAGTCAGGGTCTGGAAGGTCTAAGAGTGACAGAAAACCCCAGAAAAGCCCACATCTGGTCAGGCTTGCTGTCTAGGAAAATCACAAGAGGCTGATCAGAAAAGGCAAGTCTTGGTTCCCCTCTTCTTGTCCCCGCGGGCCCCACCCCACACTGGCTGGCTGGCACAACTGCTTACAGTGCCTCTCTTACCCAGTGAAAGACAACAGTGCCAGGTGGGGTTCCACGCCTCGCTGCTCCTACCCAAACCAGCCCCTGGATGGACTAGGCTCGTTCCCTCTCTGTTCCCAAAAGAATAGGAGAGAGGCGGACCCATTAACCTAGACTTGAGGGCTCTGGGCCCGAGGGAAGCTGAACCGCAAATCATCACACCCCCAAGTCAGGAGAGCTTGTCCCAAGCATCTGCTTCAAGGCCCGGCAGCGGCAGTCCGGTCCTCCTGGGCCCACAAGCGGGCACGGGCTGTGGGGAATCCGGGTAGGGAGGCCATCGCTGCCTTCGGCACTCAGGGATTTCACCTCTGTGGCGCGGCCCACCTCGGGGAGGGGGGTCAGGCTGCTTCCCCTCCGCCTCCAGTGCGAGTCCTCAGGCTGCAGGGGTTTTACAAGCTGGCGCTTTCCGTGCCAGAATTCCCACCTACGTTTTGAGAACTAGCACAGAGAACCGACTTTTAATGTGCCCGAGTAACAAAAACAGCCACCGAAAGCCAAGACACGAACAGAGGGGACAAAACCTCAGAACGAGGGCGACCCTGTAAGTGGAGTCAATGCACCTCCATGAAGAGCCGCACTAACCAGTCTTCGTAACCCCCTGCTCTGCTCGCTGGGCCTCTTGAGACAGTCAGCCCTGGAAACCCCTAAAGACTGCGGGGTCGGGCCCATGAAGACTCCGCAAGAGCAGCATCCCGGGAGCACGGGGAGAGCTGAACGCGAAGGCCTCGGATACGCAGGGCCGCGGCGGCGCCCAGGAAGGCCCTCAGGAGCCTGCGCGCCGAGATGACACTCACCGTCCGAAGGGGCGCGGCCCAGAGTGGCCGCCGCCAGCCCCGCCAGTGGGCGCCGCAACATATGAGGCCACAGCCGCCGCTCTCGGAGAGTTAGGCCACAGCGCCGCGCCAGCCCACTTCCGCCCGAAGGGCTGACGTAAGCATCTTCCCGGTCCGGCACCGCCCCTGACGGCTATGCGTAAGCACCGCGCGACAGAGCGCGCTTAAAGGACCTTCGGCCTGGCAGCCAGTGTTCGGCTGCACTAGGACGGTGCACTGCACCGCCGCTCCCAGGCGGCCTGGATCGTGGCTTTCCCGACCTCAGTGAGTGTGGCAGGTCGAGCCGTGTTGTGTGGGCCGGGCATGCTTCCCCAAGGGAGGGAGGGTTCTGGCTCCGCGGGCATCCGCTCGGAACCTCACAGCATTTCCCTCTGCGGCCTAGTGGCCTCCTAAGGCGGAGGGAGCCCTGCAGATGCCCTGCCCTGACAGGTAGGGGACAGCGAGGCGAATCCGCCTCTATCTACCCGGAGGGCTAGTTTTTGTTTTTGGGGGGTTGGAATACCGAATACACTTAGGCATTTGGCTTTGAAACTTACGGTTTGTCGCAGAACGGTTACAGACGCTTCCCTGCGAGTCCGGGCATACTACGACTGACCCTGGGCTTCAGCTGCCTCCACGTGCCACAGGGACCCTTACCTCGTTGGACTCTGTGAGAACTAAATGATCGTGGCCAGCATGGTGTGAAGCAGCCTCCGTTCATGTTGCTCTCTGCGCTCAGAGCAGCTTCCTGTAACTCACCCAAACGGGCCTAGATCCTGCCCATACTGTCGGAGTCAGGATATTTGGGAGTAGGGCCTGGCATCTGCTGTCCACAGACCTTCGGCAGGTGGTTCTGATGCCAGGTCTGGGCCGAGAGCTTGATAACTTACTGAGACTGCTATTAACCTAGGAATAACATGCCTGCTTGGAGACGTGACTGGTTCTGTGGCTTTCTTCCTGGCTAGGCCTGGCAAAGACCAGTTATGTGGAAAAACCTACCTGTTAAGATGACTTTTCTTGCTCAGCAGGTGACACACGGGGCCAGTAACTGACCCTCGGCCTGCACATGCCAGTGTCACTCAGGAGGAATGGCAGTTGCAGGCAGCATGCTTGGGTAAGCACAAGCTTCTAGGCCCCTTGGAGGTCACAGGGCTACCCAAAGGAAGGTCAACTCTGGAGCCTCAGGCTGTGCTCTTAGGGATGCCTCCCCAGCCAGTGGGTTTATCTGGATAATACATACAAGTACATGCATACAGAGGCTTTGGCAGGGTATTGAGGGGGAATAGGAGCAACATTGACTTATTAGCACCAAACAAGCAGTGATGGGAGTCGTTCCCATAATCAGAGCCTGCAGCCTAGCCCTGGAGAGTGCCATAGCATTCCTGCTGTTCCCACTGGAACTGCCTCTATTTGACTGTTCCTTTTGCCCCACTGCCTCCCCCAAATGGGAAGCACAGTGTGGTTAGTGTTGCCAGAGGAGGAAACAAGGGCAGGTGTCTTGTTCCTGTGGAATGTGGGGAGACAGAGGTGGCACTTGAAGTCTGAGTTGGTATGAACATGGGAAAGGGACTCTGACTGCATCGTTCCCTGGAGGGCCCTCATCCTGGGAGAGGTTCATGTGGGAACTGATGCTGTTCCCAGTGGGAGAGTACCCAGGTTCTTTTCAAGGGTTGACTTCATTCCCATCTAGAAGTTTCCTCAACCCACTGATGTCAGGTTCTCACAAGTGGCTGTGCCCTGGGCTCCTAACGCTGACTGCAGGCTTCTCTGGTGCTGGAGCTGCTCACCATCTCCTTTCTTTTGTCCTTCACTTCTGAAGGCAGGGACTGGCTCAGCTGGGGGTCTGGGACCTAACAGTAAATAAGCTGTGGTTCTTGTGACCAGGCCATCAGAGCCTAGCAGAGGAGATGGGCCCACAGCCCTGGGTGTCAGCTGCAAAGTGCATGGGGTGGGTCTGAATCCAAAGTTGCTTAAGAGCCAGGCTGGAGGGAATTTGGGGGTCACAAGGCAAGGCCCCAATTGGGTGAGAGACAGGGGTGAGGCAGAGCAGGGACTGGCAGTACCCTGTCACCTTGGAGCACATGCTCTTCCCTGTGTAGGAGGTCTCAAGTGTCTGCCATGTGTGGAACCGAGTGGGCTCCACAGGTCATGTGTGCTCAGGTTGCTCCAACAGAATGCCACAGACTTTGCATACTTTGTTCCCTGCAATCCTGGAGCTGTTCCTCTTCCTGGTTCATAGATGGCCACCTTCTCCACATCCTCACAGGGCAAAGAGAGAACAAGTTCCTGTGTCTTATAAGGGACCATTCCCAATGCAGGGGCCCCACCTCCCTGATCTCATGTAACCCTGTTCACCTCCCAAAGGCCCTGCTCTTAATGCCATTTTATTGGGGGTTAGTGCTTCAACATGTGAATTTGGGAACATAAACATTCAGTGCACAACATTAGGTCTGTGTTCCTGTTAAGAGGCTACTTCCTGCTCTAGGGCTTATGTTCAGGACTCCAGACTCCTAGAGAGTGCTATCCTAAGCCATCTGTCCATAGCAGTCTGAAAGGCTTGTATTCTCACCCCCCTCGGCCTCTTCCCATATGCGGTGTACGAGCTGCTCTGACCACATCCCAGACCTAGGGGGTTGCTGTGGGCACCCACTGGAGCTGGTTGACCTGGTCTTGGCAGGCACTCTGGTCTCCGCACCTGCCACTGACTAGCATGTGTATCTGCAGATTGCTGCGGCAGCAGGTGGTGATGGGGGCTGCCCCTGTGGGCCGCTGCCTGCACGTGTCCTTCCATCAGGCTGATAGCAGCAGAGCTTCACTCACTCGTGTGCACAGACAGGCCTATGCACGCTTCTACCCTGTGCTCTTGGTCAAGCAGGATGGCTCCACCATCCACATCCGCTACCGGGAGCCCAGACGAATGCTGGTGGTAAGCTGCCCTCCCTGGAGTGCGGGTCTGGGCTAGGCAGGGAGGGGAGGGTGAGCAAGGCATGGAATGCTACCTACCCAAGATAAGACAGCAGCAGTGGGTTGTGTGAAAACAAACAAAACATCCCGGGTAAACAAGAAGAAATTTCTATAAAGAGGGAGAGAGGTGGAGGTTGGGAGGACATCCTTGTCTCTTTCGCTGACCAAGTGCACACCCTCCCTCCACAGATGCCCATGGACCTGGATGCCCTGTCCCCAGAGGAGAGGCGGGCACGGTTCCGAAAACGTGAGGCCCAGCTCCGAGGGAAGGAGAAGGAGCCAGAGCTCCTTGATGACTTTGACTTGGAGCGGTACAAGCAGTTTTGGACCAAAAAGTGACCATGCCCACAAGCTGTCCTGGCTCAGGAGGCTGTAGAGAGGGAGGGGCATTCATCTTTAAATTAAGCATCAGGATTGTAAATCCACCTTGTCTTTCTTTATCAAACATGTGCCGGAGGGCTCTCTCTGAGACTGAGCCCACTGGAAGGCTTATAGTTGGGTCAAGCTGTGGTTTTAGGAGGAAGCTCAGAGGGCACTTGAACTGTCACTGCAGGAGGTGCCTGCTGCTGCACAGCCAATCTGGGCCGAACCCCTCACTGCCAGCATAAAGCATGGGGAGTAGGTGGGATCCAAGGATGCTGGCACCTAGCCTGAACCTGGCCTGCTCTGCCCCTCTCCAGGGGTCCCCCAGCCCTGCCGGTAGGCAGTGAGAAGGTGCTTCCTGACATGGAACAAGGGGAGCAGCCCCATTGCTAACTCCTCAGATCTTAGCTACACGCTACAATGGGCTGCCACCTTCTGGCCAAGGGGTAGATTTCACATGGACAGGATGGGCATTCTGCAAGACCTGAGGGAGCAATCACCAACCTTTACACAAGCAGCTGACCTGGCCCAAGCCTGGGGCTGCATCTTGTCCTGGGCTGTGGATTGATCCCGGGACCCTAACTCTCAGGTTCTTCCTCATAAACTATGAGAGCCTATGGTAGAACATTGCCATACACACAGGTTGTATGAAGGATGTTCCAGGCACCACTAGGGAGGCAGAAGCTTGTGGGATATGACGCTACCTCTGATGGCCAGGAGGGATGCCGGGCTGAACACCAACCTTGGACTCCTCCTCTTTGGTCTGCTGAGCATGTGTCTGGCCATGTGCAGCTACTTTGACAACTGCCTTCCAGGGCCTGCTGGCCTTCTGGCCTATTCAGGGACATTCCCACCTGGGCAGCATCCTTGGATCCCTCATCCCTCCAGCTGCTGTCCCAGTTTACTGCTTACCACTCATCTCTGGGGATACTGCGCAACAGTGTCTGCACTCACTGTTCAGGGCCAAGTTACTCATGACACCTGTTGAAGACAGCAAGGCAGACCTGACTCAAGGTAGGGTTGTGGAGGTGGGTGCACTGAGTGGAAGAGGCTGAGTATTGCATGGAAAAGGGGATTTGTGCCAGGATCAGGGTGGGGTCAGTCATGGGAAATAGTAAGAGTACTGGGGAGAGGAGGTGTCTGGCTAAATCCACCTAATGTGATTGCTTCTGAAGGCAGGCAGGTGGTCAAACTTTTGGGTATGAGGAGCCCAACTAGATATGAAGGGATTTTTTTCCTAGAAGTGATGGCATACAGATAGACATAAAGGCCCAAGGTCTAGTTGGAGAGATCTGGGCAGCCTGAGAGTGGCCAAGCATAGTCCTGTCTGCATTTCATAAAGGTGGGGGCCCATATTGCCCCCTCCCATGCTTCTGTACCCCCTTCTGTCACCTCACCCTAAAATGCCATTAACACTGATTACCCCCCACCAGATTATAGTTGGGCTTTCCCAGGTGGTGGTAGGAGTATGGCAGAGTAGGCTGAGCTGACCCTGCTGCTCCCCAGTGCTTCTTTCATGCCCCCCCGGACCCATGCATCCTACCATGACAAGCTTCCCACTACCAAAGCTGTGATCCTCCAGAGAGGCGCACCTTTGGCTTTGGACTTGTACACATGCTGAAGGCCCCCGAGTGGGTGCAGGAGCAGACCTGGAGCTCCCATGTGTGGGAATCGAGGCTCAAACTTGACATAGTGGTTGGAGTTCAAACCCTGTTGACTCCCAATGTGGAAGCCCCCAAAAGGGCTAGTGAGGGAATCAGCAGAGGCAAGTCAGGAGAGCAGGTAGAGGCCTCTTCATTGCCCTCCCCACTGAGTACCTACAGGCCACTTAACTGGGATATGTGCTAGGGCAGCATTCTGTAAAAGAATCCACACAAATGACAACGCAGGGTAAACAGCCCGTTGTTAGGTCTGCAGTCTCCTATGGAGTGGATCCTGCATTCATTGGACCAGTTACCGAGTTGGGTCTTAGACTGGGAGCACTTGTCCGATGAGTAAGCCGAGCCATCAGCAGTGAACGCCACGTGCCCATGCAGAGCCTCAGCCAGTACGTGGGCAGATGTTCTTACCTGCCACCAAGCGTGGTGGTGTGTGCATCCATGCCCCTCACACCCCATCACCAAGACGCTCGCAGCACTGTTGCTGCCCCCAGCTGCGGGTGTGACAGTGAGGACCTCAGTGCTGCAGATTCCTCACCAGTTCCTCAGGAGTGCCTGTCTGCGGGCTCTAGCACATCTGCGGGCTTTTGCACAGAGTACACAGGGAACGGTGACTTTCGGGCACTGCTCCTGGATCCCGGTGTCACCACGCAATGTGACTTCTAATAATGGTGGTCATGCTAGCCAGGCCCTCAGGTCCAGCTTCTGCCCATTCTGGGGTGGCTTAGGGAGGGAAAGTACTCCAGTGTGGGTCTAAAACCAGAGCAAAGCGGGACTGGGATGCAGAGTGGTGCGCAGGCGCACAAAGCAACACAGGGTTGGCGCAGGCATGACGTCGCAGCGCGTGATAAGACCAGGGGACCTGGAGGTAGCAGACGTTCACCCTCGATCGGCCTCAGCCCAGGTGGCATGCAGTGGCGGGCAGGACCAGCTCAGTTGGGGGACGTGGAGCAGAATGTCCCAGGGCCTCATCGGGGAGGGGGCGGTCTGGGTTTCTCTGTGTTGAGGACACCGAACAAAGCCATCTCCCCTTGGAGGCTTTTCCAGCTTCCTGTCCCAGGAACCTGGGGCTGGTTCTCCACAGTTGGGGGCACTGTGCAGTCCCATGAGTGACTCCCTTGACAGCACTGAGAGCAATTGGCCAGGTGCCTTTTTGCGCACGGAAGCAGCAGGTGAGGCCAGCAACAAAATTGGGGGGGGGGGAGCTGGTTGAGGGCCCTGGACCCAGGGTTCTCAGCAGGTCTCTTGGGTCAGTGATGTATGTTCCTGGCGTGGGACCCCTTCTTGGGAGCCTCCCTAGGTTGTGAGCCCAGAAGTCAGGCAGCCCCATGACATGAGTTGCCAGGTGCATGGGGCCACGTGTGAGGTGCCCTCCCCTCTACTGTTCTAGGGGCCCCTGGAGCAGTAGCCACTCTATAGCCAAATGAGGCAGGTGGTGGTGGTGCGGGGTGCAAGAGGGTACTACCTGGCAGCGACTGTGCTGGAAGAGGCCTTGAGAAGGTCCCATGAATTTTTCTGCCTAGATGGGAAGGCCCCTATCTGAGCCACCTACTATACCAGCTGCTGGCCATGTGCGGTACCCAGGAACTTCACTTAGTGAAACAGCCATGTGTGGTCAGTGGCTATTGTGGTTAAACCCTGGCACTGTGTATCCCCAACTCTCAGCCCCGAGAGTCACAAGAGCAGAAAAATAAACACGAGAAAAAGGAGAAAAGGAGCACAGGACCTGGGCAGCCTCCTTGCTGTCCCTGGCTCCTGCCATTAAAATGCAGCAACTTGCCTTTGGGGCTAGGCCCAAAGGCAAGTGTGGTTAAGTGGCCCCTCGCACTAGGCATTCCTTGGGTCTCCCCCAAGGGCCTGACAGAAGCTCAGCCCACCATGTCCCTGCCCACCTCAGGCAGGACCTGTTTTCAGTGAAGCTTTAGAGCTTGTGCCCTTCCAGGGAACTGGAGGGCAGGTTTAAGGGGCCCTACCAGGCCCCTGTGTAAGCAGGCAAGGTGTTGCCTCAGCCCCAGATGACCCATGGGGAAGACATCTGCCCAGGAGGTCCACCTGCCTTATGCTCCAAATACTGCTACTTCTGCTTTTCTTTGTGTTGACTTACCTTTGTACTTAAAAACTTTTTTTTTTAAAGATTTTATTTATCTTTAGAGGGGAAGGAGAGAGGGAAACATCAATGTATGGTTGCTTCTAGTGCATCCCCTGCTGAGAACTGGCCTGCAACTCAGGCATGTGCCCTGACAGGGAATTGAACCATGATCCTCTGGTTCGCAGACCTGTGCTCAATCCACTGAGTTACACCAGCCAGGGCTTGTACTTAAAAACTTAAAAAAAAAGTATTTATTTTAAAGGGAGAGAGGGAGGGAGGGAGAGAGGGAGAGAAAGGGGGAGACAGAGAAGGGGGGAGAGGGAGGGAGAGAGAGAGAGAGAGAGAACATGGATGTGTAGTTGCCTCTTGCACACCCCCAACTGGGGACTGGGCCCACAACTCAGGTACATGTGCCCTGACTGAGAATCGAACAGGCAACCCTTTCATTCTCAGGCTGGCACTCAATCCACTGAGCCACAACTTAACTTATTTTAAACTGAAGGTCAGTGTTCCAATACAACTGATGTGTGAAAATGAGGTGAATGCCTTGGGTTCCAGCAGGACCTGAGACCCCACTGGGAGGGGGGACTCCCAGTGGTCAACAGAGAGGGTAGAGGAACCAGAAATGGCTCAGCTGCAGGGCTTTGCTGAGGTATATGAGGGCAGGGGGCGGGGGAGATGGCCAGCGGGGAATGCTTCTAACTGGTGGGTGTGTGGTGGAGGTGGCCTTGTACCTAGAGATAGCCTTCTTCCCCAGCCACATAGGTACCTCCTACCCCCTGTTCCATGCCTCCCTATTCATTTGCCCGCTGAATCTGCTCTGCTCCTTCCAGGCAGGGAAGAACTCCGGGTACACCACCCCGCTTCCCCCCTCCCCCAGCTCCTCTGCTGGGAAGTATGCCTTCAGCCAATTCACCACCTTGTCCTTAGAAGAAATGACAACTTCTGTTAGGCTATTATCTCAGGCTGGACATGGCAGAGGGTTGGCCACACAAGGGCTGGATGGCTACCTGGACCTTGGCTTGGCCAAGTAGTAGGTGTGCCCAAAAAGGCTCTAAGGTCAAAGGGATAGCCCTTAAGGAACTGGTAAGGGGCCCACAGCATCCAAATGGGCACAGGTGTGTACTGTGGCAAAGCCTCCCGAGGCAAAGAGACAGAACTAGACCAAGGATTCCCATCTCCCCCGGGATGCCTCCACAGGGGATCTGAGGCCCTGACCCATTGGCACCCCACACCACACGGGGACCTTGCTAGTCCTATCTCAGCCTGTCATCACCAAGACTGGACCTGGACCAGGACCAGGACTGGATTGCTAGTAGAGAGAGACTAATGAGGAAGTCCCTCAAGAGTGCCTCCCTCAGCCACACCTGCCCATACCCCAGGAGGCAGCCTTGGCCAGTGGGACCCATGCACTGGAAAGCCATGAAATAGTTAAGAGATTTTATTCTAATAGCTAATAATTACAGTGCTTGTTTTGTCGAAATGAAAACTGAAAACAAGTATACAAAAACAGTTGATTACTAATTGTGTATTGAAAGCAGTAAGAGGTTCCATGACACCAGATAAACCAGTTCTGAGGTTTTCCCCGAAGATAAAGTTTAACAGCTCCAGCTTCTTCAGTGTTTATCAAAATACAAAAGAAAAAAGTAGAGGTTGTTGATTTTGATGTCAAACTTGACCTTTGCAGGCTGAAGGAGTGAAAGCACATGTGGACAGGGGCTCCGAGGAGCTAGGCTCTAAGATGACCAGTCACATGTCCGTGCTCCTACTGGTGAGACCCAGACAACCTGGGTGAGCGAGCGAGCGTGCATGGGGACCATATAGAGGGGCTCCTGCTCTGCCAGAGTGATCCTGCCAAAGCACCTATACCAACCCAAGGGAAGGCTGAGGTCCCTCCAAGGGGTGTGTCAGTGGTGGCCACAGCCCCAGCCCTTCCCTGAGGCAGTGGTGTAAGCACAGGTACAAGTAAACGCTATGGAATGCAGAGGACCCAGCGAGACAGCCATTCGGGGACCGTAAGTGACCATGCAGAATGTTTTGTGGCTGGTTCTGCCCACCATATGCTCCAGACGTGAGAGAGACCATGGGTAGACTGGACTCAAGCCAATGCTGCAGAACCTACAGTAGGCACATTTCCCCCTTCTCTGTGTTCAAGTGTCTCTTTATCTTGTATTTGTAACTATTTTAAAAAATGCACTGAGCTTGGGTTAAAAATGAACCATCAAAATGGATCTCAATACAGATCTAAAGCCCAGAGGAGTGTTAGACAGATCTGACAGCTACTCCTGGAGGCCACAGTGCCTAAAATCCCTTCTCAGTACTAGACAGTGGGTTGATTCTCATTTTACAATAAAAAAAGCTGAGTCATATTGCATAGGAGTACCAGAAACTGCCTCATTGGAAACAAGAACTATTTACATTAAATAAAAACCCGGTTGCAGGCTGCATCTGCACATGTACAGCATGGTGAAGCACACTGGGACCGACCATGGAGACAGCTTCTGGCACTCACACCACAGGGGCATGGCTGCCACATGAGAGGAAAAGCGAGGGTGAAGGAGGGAGTGAGGGGGGAGAGAAGAGTGCAGCTCACTTCTGGTTCCGGAGCTGATTGGACAGCCAGTCCAGTCCCTCATAGAGCCCGTCCCCACTGGTGGCACAGGTCGCCTGAATGTACCAGTTCCTGTGGCGCAGGGAGTGCAGGCCCAGCTTGTCCGTGATCTCAGCTGCATTCATGGCATTGGGGAGGTCCTGGTGGGAGGGGCAGGGTGGCATGGCCACCATGAGTCATCAGGAAGACTGGGGACCCCACACACCTGACCTGTGATCCCTTCAGACCTCCAGCCCTTTGGGGTGGCTTGGTCACACACAAGCACATACCTGCTTGTTTGCGAACACGAGCAGAACAGCATCCCTGAGCTCGTCCTCTGCCAGCATCCGCATGAGCTCCTCCCGGGCCTCGTTGACACGCTCTCGGTCGTTGCTGTCAACCACAAAGATGAGACCTGCCAAGGAACAGGCATCAGTGAAAGTACCAAGGACTCTCAACCTCTCCCACAATCCACAGTCCCCCTCCCTCACCTTGTGTGTTCTGGAAATAGTGGCGCCACAGAGGCCGGATCTTGTCCTGACCGCCCACGTCCCACACGGTGAAGCTGATGTTCTTGTACTCCACAGTTTCCACGTTGAAACCTGAAGGAGCGTGGCCCAGTGTCAACCAAGCCCCCCAGCAGCCACTGCATCCTCCCACAGCCCTCAGTGGCCTGGCCTTCTCACCTATGGTGGGGATGGTGGTCACAATCTCACCCAACTTCAGTTTGTACAGGATGGTGGTCTTCCCAGCAGCATCCAGGCCCACCATCAGAATGCGCATTTCCTTTTTGCCAAAAAGGCCCTTAAAGAGGTTTGCAAAGATATTCCCCATGCTGTAGACCGGAGGGAGACACACTGGCCAGAGAAACCTGCAGAGACAAGGAAGGGTTCCCCAGGTGTCTTTCTGTGCTACCCAGGGTTAGCAGCATGGGCGCAGCTCAGAGACTACCCACCCTCCTACCATGGACAAAGAGACAAACACCCTGCTTTCTCTTGAAAACTCACAGGACAGAAGCTAAAGAGACTCCAGTTCCCAAGCTACAGAAATAGTCCTGCCTGCTGGGTCTCTCAATCCACCTCCCTGCTGTACTCCTTAGAAGGGAGAGCCTAGGAATCTTAGGAACAGGGCTGACATTTACCATCCAACATCCATGGCTTTCAAAGAATGCCAGATCCTCTCCAATCTAAGAGAACTTTTCAAGGGGGCTGAAAACAACCAAGCTGAGGATCCCAGCGTCTTTCAATTGCCCCACCAAGCCCCAGTGAAACACGGCCCATGCTCAAGATGACAACAAACGCATGGGGAGCTAGTCTCCCAGATCCCAACAAACAAGAAGCCAACCTTTTCCAACAAACCCCACAGGCAGGACATTAGGACCAACAACACCTGGGCTCTGAGTTCAAGGCACAGCAAGGGCCCCAGGGTAGCGTTGTCGGGGAGTGCTCCTTCCCACCAGCAGCGGAGGAAGGGGCCCGTGTGAGAACATGTGTGCCATGTCCAGGCCACAGCCTCACTCCAGGCTCCCCTCACTCAGCAGAGTAAAATCACTGGGACATCATCCAGCCAACTACTTCCCAAGGTCAGAGAGCAGGCAGGGACAGGAGTCCACTGGCTGGCAAGAGCAGGCTCTCAATCCCAGAAGGCCCCCAGGGCACGAGACCTGCTCGGGCTTGGCCTCTCCAAGCTGCTGCACTTTTACTCTTCAACTTTTATTCCAAAGAAGAAAAAAATGGTCACTTTCTCAAATGCTGAGGAACCGCCCCCAGAAGTAACCAAGAGCTTCATGAAGTCTTTAGACTATGAACAGATACTGCTGAGTCAGAGGCTAGTGAAGGATATCCTATGGGCCTAGTGCAGGCACGCCCCACTGCACCCAACTAGGGGATATGTCTAGATCCCCACTGCCCCTGACACCCCGATGACAAGCTCAGGTGGAGTCAGTAGGTCTCTCCACTCCAGTTCTCTCCATCTGAGCACTGAATGACCGTGTGCACATCCAGCTCATGAAACACACACCCTCTTTGGTCATAGCGCCCTGACGTTGTCTGTCAAATGGTGCTTTTCTACCTAGCCATTCCTTTCTGTTGTTAGCACTCTGCTGTAAGAAACCACCTTTCCAGTTTCAGGTATCCACACGGGTGTGAACTCATACATTGTTCTTTCACTCAATGGATCAGAACTAGCTGCCCCACTGTGAATATAATGCTTTGAATAGTACCTGACATGCCCAGTAGGACCCCTTCCAAACTAGATTCAGTGCACTCGACACTTCCTGTTTTTTGTTTTGGACAATATTACCTATTCAAAAAATTGAATTTTAAAGTTTAAGGAGAGTTTTACTGTAACATTTCCTTTTCTGCAAACAGCAAGTTTTCCTAAATACAGAGGGTGAAAAATTATGGAACACAGACTAAACACACATTTCATTCCTGAAATCACCACTGATACACAAAGCAATGCATGACCCACATGGGACAAAAAGAAAAGGGACATAGGTAGTGCACTGTGGCAGGGTCTGACTTCATGCTCACCCTTGTTTTCAGCCCTGCCGCAGATCAAAGGGATCTGACTTGGCCTTCCAGGCAGAGGGGAATGAGGGCTTATGCTCTACTGGAAAGAAAGGGATGTGGGGCACTCTATGGGGAGGCATAAGAGACCCAGAGGATGCAAAGCATGGACCTATAGAGGACCCCAAAAAGCCATGCCCTATCCCCTTTAGGAAGTTGCCATGGCAGAGACGGAAACAAGCAAGGAATTTTCATGGAGCAAGACAGAAGACCAAGACTATTTAAAAAGAAAACAAACAAAAACCTTCCCTCACACATAGCCCCAGCATCAACAAGGTGGAGATGTGGGGCCTGAAAAGTAACAAAAGGGTGTTAGAACAAAGAAAGTGACAGCACAGAGCTGACAAAGTGAAAAATCCACAAAAGCACAGATAATTAACGGAAAACAAAAAGAATTTCAAAAATCAACATCTACCTTGGGCATGGAGATGACTTCTTTGATACAAAACCAAAGATACAATCCAGGAGAGAAAGAAGTGATAAGCTGGACTTCATTAAAATTGCAAGCTTCTGCTTTGGCTGGTATGACTCACTGAACTGAGCTCTGGCCTATGAACCAAAGGGTTGCGGATTTGATTACCAGCCAGGAGGGCAAATGCTTGGATTGTGGGCCAGGTCCTCAGTTGGGGGCATGTGAGAGGCAACCAGATGATATATCTACCACACATTGATGTTTCTGTCCCTCTCTCCCCATCTCTCTAAAAATGAATGGAATAAAATAAAAATAAATAAAATAAAACAAAATCACAAGCTTCTACTTTAGGAAAAGACACTGTCATAGAGAAAATATTCGCCAAAGACACATCTAATAAAGGACTGCCATCCAAAACCACACAAAGATCAGTTAAAACCCAACAATAAGGAAACAAAAACCTGATTAAAATAATGGGCCAAAGACCTTAACAGACACCCCAGCAAAGAAGATTACACAAACACAAATAAGCCATGAAAAGATGCTCCATATCACATGTCCTCTGGGAAATGCAAATCAAAGTAATGAGCTACCACTACACACGTGAGAATGGCCTACACCAGGAACACCAACATCAAATATGGATGACAATGAGGGGGCAACAGGAGCTGGTGGGAATGCAGAATGGTGCAGCCACTTTGGAAGACAGCCGGAAGTTTCTTACAAACCAAACATACTCTTACAAGCAACTACAATCCCTGGTATTCACTCAAAGGAGATGAGTTAAACTCAAAGGAGTTGAAAACTTATGCCCATAAAAAAACCTGCACATGCACGTTTACAGCAGCTTTATTCACAACTGCCAAAACTTCAGTAGGTGAATGGATAAACTGTGCTGTACAACCATATGACAAAATATTATCCCGCACTAAAAGAAGCTAGCTATCAAGCCATGAAAAGACATGGAGGAACTAAAACGTGTATTGCCAAGTGGAAGGAACCAACTGGAGGTAGTCACCTACTGTACAATCCAACCATCTGACATTCTGGAAAAGGCAAAAACTAAGGAGGCAGTAAAAAGACCAGGGGTTGAGGGGAGGGATGAACTGGCGGAGCACAGACAATTTTCAGGGCAGTGAAGCTACTCTGTAGGACACTGGAATGGTGGCTATGTGTCATTATCCATTTGTCCATACCCACAGAATGTATACCACCAAGAGTGAACCCAGTGTAAACTATGGACTTTGGATGATGATGTGTCCATGGAGGTTCATCGGTTATAACTAATGCACCACTCTGATGGCAGGTGCTGAGAGTAGGGATTTCCCATTACAATATATGTATGGGAAATCTCTGTACCTTCCCCTCTATTTTACTGTGAACCTAAAATTGCTCCCCCCAAAAAACTAAAAAATAAAAAAAAAAACTAAAAAAAAAAAAAAAAAAAAAACCTAAAAAAAAAATCAACATCTAAGATGGAAACAGATTCACTCAAGGCAGACTAAATCCCAGCACACCAAGGGTGAAAGAACTTTAAACTTAGCATTCAAAAAGATCAGACAGAAGCAGTACTGTCAACCTGTAAACCCTACACCAGCCAAAGTATGGATTAGGTATAAGGGCAGAGTAAGTATCAGGTGAAAAATGCCAGGCAGCCCCAGGCAAGGGGAGCTCCCAGGGTACTGGGGAGACACACAGGGGGGCCTGGGCAGCAGCCAGCCCATACAGTACTACTTACGTGGTTTAAATATGCAGCTTGGCAATTCCAGGGGAATTGGGAAAAGCTAATGACAGATAAATGGGAAAAAAAAATCCAAGGATAAAAGGAGGCCACTTTAGGATTCCTGTGGGAAAACATAAGACAGTCACTGCTTGAGTCTACGATGAACAATGTTTACTCCGTCGTGAGACTGTTACCATCCAGAACAGGTGCACTAACTCAGAAGTACACAGGTACAGCCAAATGATGAAAGGGACTGTCCCCAGGAAGCAGGGCAGAGGGCTGCTCTTTATGCCTGTTTTACTGTTTAAGCATTCCTGTCACAAAAACCAAGGCACCAAGGGGTTAAAAGGTTATCTGTACTGCTTTGATCAGCTGTTTGATTCCTGGTCAGGGCACATGCCTAGGTTTCCAGGGCCCCTGCCAAAGGCAAGTGATCCATGTTTCTCTGTCACATCCATGTCTCTCTCTCTCTCTCAAAAAAGTTATCTGTGCTGAGGGAACGCCTCCAGGTAGAACTCTATGCATGGGTGTGGCCTCTGCATGCAAAGTCTCTGTCTCTCCCCACTGGCCTGTCAGTGAGCCCTGATTACCAACACAGTCCCTGCCCTCCATAGATCAAAGTCATGGAGCCCCATAAGGGGAAGGAGTCACACTTGGTGGCAGAATCAGGATGGGGATCAGAACCAAGTCTCAGATTTAAGAAACTGAATATCCTGCCCCAGCTGGTGTTGCTCAGTGGATTGAGCACCACCCTGTGAACCGAAGGGTCACCTCAATTCGATGCCCAATCAGGGCACATGACTGGGTTGCAGCCAGGTCCCCAGTAGGGGGGCGTGCAAGAGGCAACCATACATTGATGTTTCTCTTCCTTTCTCCCTCTTTTCCCCTTTGTCTAAAAATTAAAAACAAAAACAACAAAAAACAATCCCAAAAAACTATGAATATCCAGCATTTGGTGTCTCCCCACTACAAGCATCAGTACCTACCCTGCACCTGGTGGCTTCCTGGCCTGTCCCCTCAGCACTGCTTGTTGCTTTGAGAGAGGACTAGACCTAACACAATGTGTCGTAACATAAAGTTGAACACCGGCCACCAGAGTTCTGCCATGGTCTCTTGGCACAGGTTCCAACTTGTAGGACACCCAGCCCAGGTGCTCTTTCACCTTTTCCTTCACCAGAATCCCGCACATTCAAGTCAAAACCTGTTTTTCAGGTTTACTGGATTAGTGAACAGAGAAGACACCAGCTTGTTCAGTAGAACCCCTCCTTTCCCACTTCCGAGTCTACACCTAAGCGAGAGTAACAAGGGTGCTTGTGAGACCAGACAGAGCCTGTAGGGTGGTGTAACTGCATTGAAGTCAAGAAGAGAACACAACTCCCACATACAGAGATCTACACAGGCCAAGAAGGCCAACAATGAGACGTCCCTGAGGAAAACACCCATCCCACTTCAATAAATGATTGCTTTAACTGAAGAGAAAAAAGGACACTCGTGACCTCTACCTGTGCCCTCTGCACCTTCACCAAGACCCAGTAATTTCCAGAGAAGCAGGGACAGAGTTGTGCAACTTGTCTCTGCAGAAGGAAAGTGTGTCAGGTGTTCTACAACCATTAGAGCTGGTCTGTGTAACAGAATCTCTGTAACAGGGACCACCTAGATGACCTGAACATCTGAGATCACTAGGAAGAAGACATTACCAACATGGAGTATAGCTTGGGGAACAAAAGTGTGACCCAGGGAGGCAGGATGGGCTGCACTGGTCTCCTGTGTAAATAAATGGGCATTCAGAGAGATAAATTCCCTACTCAAATGAAATGCTGGGTGACAGATTTATTTTCTTTTTGCCTTTTTAAAAGTCAAAAACTTGTATTTTCTCTAAGAGTTTCATGAATTGGCAACTACCTTTGCCAGTCACATATGTACTTAGATTATCCCTCATCTGAAAGCTCAATTCATCCCCGACACACAGGCTTTAAAATTTAGAGGTGGATCCTCTACATTCATAGGCAGTATGGTCACTTGTTATTTATTACTGCTGCAAACTGCTTTTTGTATCACCTTGGGACTCCAGCACTCAAGCAAAATAAAACCTCAAGCCATTAAATTACATCAGCCTAACACTCAATTCCTATAGCTCTGATGTTTTCCTGCCATTGAGTAGCATATTACATTTTGTCACTGTTTTATAAAAGTTAGTGTAGGAGGAAAATTCAATGTGCCAATGCTAGTAGTGATAAGCAGGTATACCTCACAGGCCTGATACAACTGTGACAAAGATACGCATCAGCAACAGGCTCAGATCATTCAGCCAGAGACATTCAATGGATCTAATTAAGTTGACAGAATTTTCTCTTCTCCTTCAGATATAATTGATACATACACTGTCTTGGTTTCAGGTCTACAACATCATTTGATATGTGTATATATTGTGAAATGACCACCACAAAAAATCTAGTTAACATCTAGCACTTCCCACAGTTAAAAATTTTTTCTTGTGATGGGAATTTTTAAGATCTACTCTCTGAACTTCTTCCAGATGTACGACACAGTACTGTTAACTACAGCCACTGACCTGCACATTATTTAAGACTGGAAGTTTGTACCTTTTGACCTCTCCACCATCCACTTTCCCACAATGAACTTTCGATAAACCAAAGAACATGCGACAGTACTTTAGAACCATAGCACTCTGGTCTACATCTAAAGGTCAGTTTCAATGAGACGTTGGTTTTCTGAAGGAGACCTTCAGGGTGCTTTGCAGGAACCAATTAGGCACAAGAGTTGGCCTTTATGTAGGATTCTGCACACCAACCCCCACACCTGAGGAGGGCCAGCATCCTTACACTGGAGTTGACTGGAGGCCCCTGGAGGGTAACACATCCTTTGCACAGAGCCCCCCCCAACTGAAAGAGGGCATTACCTGTTAGCTCCCATTCTTAGGAGATGCAACCAGTGAAATTCAATTTAGATTACTCTGCCAGCTTAAGATGCAAGGCTGAATCCTTAAAATGACAGCCAGAAATAAAGTTTCATTCATGTAAGTGAGTCTTGGTCTACAGTAACATGAATACCCACTGTGTAACTGAACAGGCACCCAGCAACCACAAGGCACATGTAAGAACACCTTACCTGCAATTAATCCTACTCACCACTAAGAACAAAAACTAAACTGTTTAAACCAAACCATTTATCTTTAATGATTCCCCTTTATTTAACTCTTAAAGTTTTATTTATTATTTAACAAAACCATAACTCAAAGCAATTTATTGAATACATTTCATGCCCTCCTGAAATCTATGGGAGGGGCAGGCAAAATAATCTAGGTGGGCCAGATATGCTGGCCCAAATGAAAACAATATCCACCTGGAACGCTGACTCCAAATGTCGCAGGACCCCCACTGTAGCAAAATCAGGATGGAGGAGTCCCACATGTGATGCCTTGCTTGGAGCTGTGATGGAAATGGTTCTATGCACTTGTCCTGGTGGCAGATGCCTGCTTCTCTGTATTTTCTCTTCCTGATTTGTCTCTGGGCAGGAGGCATTCCAGAACAGCCCACAGTCCTGGTCCCCTGCAGCCGTTCAGGCCTGTCTGAGTATTCTGGCCTGTGGAATGGAGCAGCTTCCAGGTCCCACAGACTTGGGGGTGGGCACCTGGCGCCCTACTGAGAAGCCACCAGCACCCTGGACCATAACAAGCACTTCTACTCTGGCAGTAAGGGTGCCGGTACCCTCTGTCTGTCCCTAATTACAGTTAAGTCTGAAGGACTTGTTACTAGAAGAAAAAAGAAATCAAAGACTAAGAATACAATTTTGTGTTAACCCACAACAAATTAAACTAAAAATGGAAGGAACCAAAGTAATTTGTGACCAAAATGCAAAGCAGAGCCCTGGCCAGCTGGCTCAGTTGGTTAGAGCATCATGCCATGGACCAAAAAGGTCATGGGTTCAATTTCTGGTTAGGATAGACACATAGCTATCCTAACTACGTTATGGGTTCAATCCCTGGTCAGGGCCCATACAAGAAGGCAAGCAACTGATGCACCTCTCTCTCTCTGAGAAAAGAAAAATGAGGATTAAATAAACAAATAAATAAATCACCTCAATTAATTAGAAAATGCAAAGCATGATTTAAGAAACCATGAGCAACCTTATAGCACCCAGACACCCTAAAGACTACCCTACCATTAATCCCTTACTAATTTTGCAAGTTATTAGTGGCCCTTTGGAAGTCAATTAAATTCTTTAAATCCAACCCAGTGGGGACCAGAGGACCAGCAGTTTGGGATTGGTCTGAAGTGCCTCAGTAAGTTGCTCAGATGTGTTCTGTGCCAAGGCATGGTCCCAGTGTCCTTGTCATACCCATTTCTCCATGCTGTGCTCACCAAGCCCTTTGCTCAACCTCTGCAGCCAAGTTCAGATGCCACTGCCTTCCACAGGAAGGTCCTTCCCTCTCTGTTCTTTGCAGGGCACCCCTCACACACCACTGGGCTAACAGTCACCAACAGTACTGAGTGAATCCAACTGACAGGTGGCAAAGGAGGGTGCAGCAATGACAGGTAACCTAGTTTTTAGCACCTCAGTGTTAAGCAATGTCAAAAGCTGCTTGTGAGGGATACTGGTGCCCTTTCGATGCAGCTAGCAGCTTCAGCCCCAAACATGCACCCCCCCCACCCTTGGGGGAAGAGAGAAAGGTGGGCGCACCAGGTTTCAGTTCTGGTAGGGAGACCATGAAAAGAGAAAACAATTCAGGATTCTGATTTCTCCTGTGAAATAAACCACATTCCTTTGTTTTTGTCATTCCGCACCTCTAATCATGGGGTCACTGCAAACACACAGAGGCCTCTACAGTCTATGTTCTGGTGCCTCCTCAAAGTGGACACCTAGGCCAAGTGTGTGGACACAGGCCTTCTACCAGCACTAAGACCCCCTCAACCTCAAAATAGCAAGTGGTCCCTGAGGCTTTCTCAGCACAGTGGCTTTGGTGATGGGTTCAGCCAATCCCCAAAACTTGATTTTGGCCTTCTGGGAACTTTCATTTTGAAAACAGAACTAAAAGAATTGCAGCCTCCCCTCTTTTTCTGAAGTACGAGCTTCCAGAGGATACAGAAAAGGAAAGTGTA